CGAAGTTGGGGGTGATGATATATTTATTATTTGACAGTGTACAAAACATAGACGCTGGCATTTATAGGAAAACTGTACCAGGATCTTGACTGCCTAACAGGCTCTCCAGTCCAGCAGTGCTGCTTGTCCCCGTGCTGCTGTGGTTACTGGCCCCTGATGGCTCCTCTGTACGGTGTCACTGGGAGCCCTGGTGACGCTTGTTTGGTTCAGCTCTACTGGGTGTTGGATGGCTGTGACAGTGGAGGTATGGGTTCCACCTTTTATTTTTTTTCAGTTTTTATACAGTACATTTTTGGGAGAAATGAAGAACATATCTTGGGGTGCAGAAGGCCTTTGCAGGGAGGAAAGCAGTTTGATCATATTTTGGGGTGTTCAGACATACATTTTAGAAACAGCAGGTCTCCCAGTGGTGTGGGGTGCTCAGCTATCACCGCTCCAAAAGAAGTTGCATTTCCTGTGAGCAGCACTGGTGTTGGGCTGCTATCCATCTTAGAGGATTGTAGAAGAAGTCAGTCTTTCTCTTCTTGCCGAAGCAGGACTAGCCCTCCCATTGTAAACTTTTGATTCTAATCGGTTTAAAAAACCAGGCTACTTTTGATTCTAATCGGTTTAAAAAACCAGGCTACTTCATTCATGCTTCGTAGCTGTTTGTTTTTCTGCGAGTGACTGGGGAGGAACAGACTGTGACTGCAAGCGATACCTCTAAATGGACAGGAGTGAGCTGCCAGGCCTTTTACAGCCACCAGCACACTCCATACCTTAGATGCGGAAGAGTCACGCTCGAGCTGCGCTGCTTCGTGCCAGGAAGCTGACAACTGCGAAAGCCCACACGTCACCCACATTAGTCACGCATTTATGATCACCTCTTTTTAAATAGGCTCCCGGACTACTGTCTCAGCACTTATTTATTTATTTTGAAGTGGCTAACAAAGACATTAGGCTAACTTTCTAAAGATAACTTCCAGATAGTTTAGCAGCAGATGATTTCACAGCAGGCTTTTATTTTAACTTGTGAATTCATACTTGGTCCACGGTGCTGTGCTTTAGATGTCATCACTGCGTGCTTCTTGCTTAGTGCGTGAGTAATTACAGTCATGGCAGGCCCTGCTCCCCCCAGCCTCATCTACTGGGTTCTTTTGGAGGGATGAGGTCCTCTCTGGGTTTCTCCTAATGCAGTGCAGAAGTGCAACGCAGGCATTGCAGCTTTATCTAAGTTGTATGGTATTCTGAGCCAAACCCTCCATCTTATCTCATGGGGATCTTAGTGCTGGTGCTGAGAGCGGGAGTCTAAGAACAGCAAGAGATGCACTATATGAAGTTTCCAGTGTCCTTTCTTCCTCCCTCTCTTTAATTAAAGCCAGTCTGGGTGGTTAGGCTTCTATAATTCTCTTCTGTTAAGTACTTACAAACTGAGACGTGTTTGCTTTTTTGTTGTGAGAATAGCTGAGAACCTGGAATGAACTAGCAAATCAAATGCTTCTATAAACTATACACTGCCAGGATTATTTAGGTTTAAGAATGTTGCTGCAGGAGCTTTTCCATTGCATGCTAAGTAGGGAGAGACTGATTGCTCAGTCTTGAAGTTTAATTTATTTGAAATTGTGAATATAGTAACAGCATGTGTTTAAGTGAGATAACTGAAGTGAATGGCTTGATAGTACCAATCTGTAAGATGCCTGGAAAGTGTAAGGTGTTCATCTCAGGCTTTCTGTTTGGCTGACTCTAGAATTTCATGCAGACTTAGGCGGTGGGAAGGAGTACATTACCATGTGAGAGTCCGTGCCCATTGACCCTCAGCAGTTTTCATGTTGCTGCAAAAGCCAGAGGATGGACAGCTTTTCTTCGCTGGTGGTGGGCTTTAATGGGAGCTTACTTGAGTAGCTCAGGTTATGCTCGTTTATGTAAGAAATTCAGCACGCTCGTGCTTGCAGTGAGAAAACTGGATGTAGTCAGCCTTAGTTTGAAGTAAGCTGTACCTGGCTCTGCTGGTGCTCTCTGCTCCTGTGCGGCAGTGCCAGATCGCTCTCCCCTCCTCTCCTTGTAGGCCTGCGGTGGTGGACAAGAAGGGAGACCTGGCTACGCTCAACGAGGTGGGCTACCAGCTCCGCATCTAACAAAGCCATAGGCTGGACAGAGGGCTTCCTCGGTGCTTCCCACTGCACTTTACCCTCACTCCATTGGAAGGAAAAAGGAACGGGACTATTTATTAACTTGTGGACACTTACAGTAAAGGTTTTATCTAGAAAATAGAACAGAGAATTTTCTTGGTGGCTGTATTTATTTTCATTCAGTTCATGAAAAGGCATTAGTGAAGAGAACCTTCACTCTATCATGTAGGACGTAACAGCAGTATATGTGAATTTCTACAAGTAGAGTTTTGCTATGTGAGCATTAATGGAATTTGGACATTGTGCTGGCTGGTACCTTTGGGTTGGCTACAACTCGTACTCTCAGTATTAAGATGTGCTGGGTGCAGTGTTTAAAAAAAAATAAAATCACATTCAGTATTAACAGTCAGTTCAGCAATAAAAACAACCAGTGCAGCAGTGGCATGATTTTTTGAAGTGTCAACATTACCTCACAAAACTGAATAGATATGCAAAACTGTCAGTATTACTGTTTTGTAACAAGTTTGTACTGTTTCCCAGCATTCCTGGTAGTATTAAAATGGCACTGGACGTGCCCTGCCACCTCTATTGTTGTTCTGTGCATGTTGCTGAAAGACATTAATAGTAATATGCAAGTTGTATTCTTAAAAACACATTTTCTTGGGGAAAAATGAGGTTTTTAAAAAAATAATGATAATTGATTAATAATGAATTTCTAATATTTCATAATTTTTTATACTTTGTCACAAGCTTTTTGTCTTTCTTGACTACACTGCTGAAGCACAAGAAGAAGAGATTGCTGTTTTTGTAGACAAGTGTCCACAATAATGGTTTGTTGCTTGTGTATGTTATTGCAATCATGGAAAAAACGTCCAAATTGCTGAGTCTTTACACAACTCTTTCAAGATTTGTGTGCAGCTTTGAACCTCGTCTTTGAAAGGCCAAGTGCTCTCAGATAGTGATGCCTTGACATCTTATATTAAGATCAGACATCACAGGCTGAAGTTAAGCTTCCACTGTGCTGCCGAGGGAATTTCTCTTGTATGCATCGTAATCACAACTGCTTAGTCAGACCTGAATAAGGAAGCTTGTATTGGAACAAGTTCAGCAATAAAATACATGGTGTGTCTGAAATAACCAAGAACCAGGCTTGTCTGCTTCTTCCCTCTCTGCCCTTCCGCTGTGAGACTTGGCTAAGGACCTGTGATGGATGGCAGTGTTCACAAGTGACGTGGTAAGAGACTTTCATGCCTTTCACATGAATGAAGTTCTCTGGAAGCATTTGAGCGCTGCATTCATGAAAATATTTCATTAGGTGCCTAAGTAGAAACTGGATTATTCCAAACATCCAGCCTCTACCCTCTGTGCTGTGCTTATGGATTATACTGCCGTGGTCCTTGTGTACCTCCTCTTCTGGGCACGCACTTATTTTGGAATCTCGTAGAAGACAGGACATTCTAACACAGTGACAGTAATACTGAATGAAATGGAATGATGTAAGCTCCTAGAACCCTTCCTGCATCAGCCAGGAAACGAATGAAAACAGAAGGAAATGAGTGCATATACCCAAACCTCACTGCTTGCTCAGAAGAGTCAGTGAACTCATCTCCCTAGGATAGAAAGCCAACAGAGACCCAGCAAGCTTCTACAAACAGCAAAACGCTCTTCGGTAATCATTCTTCACGAGGCCTGGAAAAAAGGCCTTTCAAATGTATTATACTTCCTTATACAAGATTACTTGACCAGTTACAGGGAGGCCTTTCTCATCCCTCTTTCCCCACCCTTTTTCACTCCTCTGTTCACAAAAGGAATTTTGGTTCAGGGGTGAAGTTGAAGAGAGGGAAGAATTTTTTTTAGTAGAAATTCTTGTGTAATTTGACATCAGCTACAGACTTTGGTTTACACTTTGTGCTGCTCAGTGTCCTGTGACAGTTTTCTTCTTGTGTCTTTTAGATTTCTCATGGGTAAAATACTGTAGAAAAACTGACATGGTGATCAGCTGTATCATATAGCATGAGGGTATCTGGTATGTTTCTAGCTTTTTCTATGGAACCACAGTTTACTACTCTTTAACTCAAGAATCAGTGGTTGGTATATATCTATTACCAGGGTCCAGAGCAATCTGAGTTATTTCTTCTTAGCCTCTAACTTATACTGAAGCTCTTTTATGCTACAGAGCTGTTCTGAGGTGGTTCTTGTTCAACTGAAAATTTATCTTGAAACTTGCTTATTATGGCATTTGTCTTAATGGTGGTTCTAGTGGCTGTTTTGTTACCTTACTGCAAAATGGTCAAATAATGTAGAAAACATGCATGCTGTTCTTTGTTTTTTTTCATTACTTGTATGCTTACGCACAGTGTGAGACTTCAATAAAATATCATGGTAGTCTTTGTAGTGACTTAGGGTTACTTTTTGTCTTGTCTAACACTGGCTATTATTGGTAAGTGTCCAGGTTGTGATATTCCAGAGAATACCCAAGTCATTTTAAAATGTCACACTGACACAGTATTTAAATACAAGGCAAATAGAGAAGGTCAGAGTTGAGCACATCCAAAGCATTTGCTTTTAAATTAGTGTAAAATTTAAGATTCAGACCTGCCCTACAGCATGTTTGGAACGGCCTATGGAAGTACTTCCTGCCATAGAAGAGATTGGAACTGACATGAAACCTGTCCTGGGAAAGAGCTGAGGCTTTAAGCAAAAACTTCTCTGAGTGCCAGACAAGGGCTGCTTAAGACCTACTTTACCTCTCTCTTCCTGTTAAATCCCTTTGCAGAGGTACTCAGAGAAAGTGGCTCAAAAGTAACTCCACAATAAAATATTATTTCCAGCTCATTACAAAGTTTGACGTGCACACAAACTCTCCCCTTTACTTGAAGAAATGCGCAGTTCTCAGAGAATAATCAGTTTTACTCAGATTTACAACAAAGACCATTTACAGCATTTCTGTGAAAAATAATGCCATTTTAAGACTGGCAGATGTTTTCCATTATCAAAGAGGAAGCTCATGTAAACTTTTTTTTTTTTTTTTGCCTCAAAGACTTCATAAAGTAATTCAAACTCTTAAAAAAAGTCTCTTTAAAAAGTCTACTTTACCCAGCACTACCAAATCAGCATGCAAGCAAAACATTTAAACCGAACCGGCAGTGCTCAAACTAACTTTAAAAAATAAAAATCACATCAAGAGAGAAGGTGGGAGTAACTGTAGCTACATGGGAGGTCCTTTGGGTGTTACCGTTCAACGAGCCTGAACTCTGCCAGCAGTGGCAGGTGGTCAGAGGAGTTATTTTCATTGGGAAGACCATTAACAGTCCAGAGATCTTTCTCTGTTAGAAGTGCCAGCCTTCCGAGGAGCTTCAGACCTCCGTGAAGAGAATCCTCTGTTCCTAAGTGAAAACAAACAGACAAAACATTCACTGTAGACTAAAGTAAAAAAAAAAAAAAAGTAATAGATGGCATTCATACATTTTCAGAAAGAACAGAACATGACAGTCTGTGGTTTTGTATGGAACAATAACCAAACAAGATGGTTTGGAATTTTTTCAATTTATTACTGTTCCCACACAGAAGGGCTTGCTCCCACAAGAGCTGCAGTGCTCGGGACACAGCCCCTGCACTTTGCAGGAGGGGGAGCTGAGGTAAGAAGGGAAAGGGATTTATTTGTCCATTGTACCTTCCCTGAAAAAACCTTGATACAATCCAGTCTTATTCCTTAGCGCAGCAGCATGGCTGTACAGAACTGACATTTGCAAAATTAAGAATCTCATGAGATTTACTGGGACACACAACATTTCTATATCCTCAAGCATGCAGTTCTCCAGCACGCAGACAATACTCTCTCTGCTGAGGATGAAAGCATTTTGGCATCTTCATTCCTAATTGCTTGTCATAAGAAATGGATCTTACCCAGTGTTTCCTGCTAACTTTTCATCATAGCCTTAAAAGAAATCTTAGAAGTACCAAACCTCCTCCCCCTCTCCCCCACAGTAAAAGCATCACATTGGTCATGGTAGAGGGGAAGACGAATGATAGCTTTTTACAACTTTATTATTATTATTATTACACTATATTTAAAATGTGTCCTCATTAAAAACAAACAAATAAACAAACAAACCACAAACAATCAGCAGCAGCAAGAAGTTTTTTTTTGCATTAAGAAATTCTATTGAGAACGAGATCCTTTGTGATGCATCAAACATCTCATGGGTAAAATGAGAGAGCAGACTATTCTGCACCCCTACCTGTTGGTTGCACAGAGATACTATGGAGGGAGCTGAGAGCTTTTCAGGAATGGCCCAAAACAGCAGGTGCAACTTTTGACAAAAATGTGCATGTAATGAATGTGTATGATCAGCTGATTTCAGAAATTCCAGCTGAATGTTTTAAGGGCTGGCTTACAAGTAGAACTATGTAAAGGATCGCCCAGCAACTGCTAAACTCCTTGCAGAGTTCAGGGTCTTCACCCCCTTTGCAAACTGCTAGCTTACCAGGCCTCTGACAACCCAGCAGCTGCTTTCTGCTGCCTTGAAGGAAATCCTTCTTGCTGTAAAAATATCTCAGTGTCTTTAGAGCACATGTCTGCTCAGCTCTTGAGCCAGATGTATTATTTGGCAGCACCTGCACTTCTACAAAGCAGCAGTTCATTGCTACAGAGAGCGTGGTCTGTATGCAGTGATTCATGGCAGCTCAGGGCATGCACTTTGGAAGCAACCAAATCAAATCCTGCAGCACCCAGGTAAGTACTAACTCCCTTTTCACAGAAACATTTCCAGAACACCAAACTAAGTTCTTGGGTAAGCATACCATACATTTTTAAGTCACAGAGCACTCAGATTGCACAGAACTCGGGAGGAATTTAGATACTTTTTTTCTAGAGAAGCTTTTCATTTGCTGTATGCGTTACGACAGACAAGACTTTGGTACATTCACTCAATGAATGTTAATGATCTAGACCCAAAGCATGAGAGGTGAAGGTGCAATTTTCATTTCAGTTACCAAGAACGTCAATCCACAAAAATCAGTGGCAATCTGCACTGGGAGCAGGATTAGAATCCAGGTTTCTTTGCTCAGAGTTCTGCAGAGCCATTTATCTGATGGCACTGCGCTGTGCACTCATGGCTGGTAATGGCATAAGACACGCAGCTAACTGTAATGTGAAAAGCCTGCTGCTCAGGAGCACCACACTAACACACAACTACGATCAAAGCAGTGCAGTTCCCCACCAGGAAAGGCACCCACAGAGGCACTGCATCTTTCTTGCACCATCTGGTGAGTTTTAGCTGCAACTGCAATCAGGAGAGTGACAACTGGGCTTCTGCCTGTGCCTCCTCTCAGAGGAAAGGCCATTCACTTGACATTAATTACACCAAGACTATCTGAAAAGTAATTTTCTAGGAAGCAGTTCATTGAGCAGCTTTGGCACGTGTTAATAAAATTGCCATTTTATTGACTGAATGATTGGAAAAACGACTTTGTTGTAGTTCTGGCCACTCTGATCCTCCAGGAGTCAACAGTATTTTCCACGTGCTACTTACATCACTGATTTTCTGTAGCCTTAGCCCTTGGTTTCCATGCTGAGAGGGTAACTACAAGAATGTTTCTCTAGGTGAAAGAGTTTGCCCATTCCAGCTGTGGTAGGTTGACAAGGCAGCCATACCTCTGAGGTACTCGATATGGATCAAATTATCATGTTTCCCTTACAACCAGATCCAGAAGTTCCCTTTTAGCATCTCTGAAAAATAATTAGAAGTTGGTTTCTTTACCTGATTGGGCAACAGAATCATCATTTGCTGCAGAATAGAAAATATAATCCACAGTGACTGCGCTTCGGGAGTGACAAGTTGTTACTTCCGGCAGCCCATTTTCAGGGAAGTAGTGAGAATAGACTGAAGACAACTTAAAACGGTGCTGCAATTTTGAGGATAATCTAGATGGAATCAAAAGAAAAACATTTTATTTTCTTGCATTTCCTAGAAAAAGCCATCAAATGTTTCTTGTTCAAACAAAATAAACATCTGGATATGCAAGCAAACTGGTGTTTTCCTCAAGCAATCAGTCTCATCGCTTTTTGTGCTAGAAATGTTTATATGAGACTAGCTTATGAGAAAGGGACTGGCTGTGAAACTCATCTCTACCCGTGCCTTGCTGTATGTAAAGAAATCAATGTTGTTTTTTTTTTCCTGGACTAAAACTCGAGTGTTTTCAAGTTAGGCTATACCTAAACTTTCCTCTACTCAGGCTCCTGTTCTGCCTTTCCTCATCAGCAGCCTGTCTGTTCCTCTTCAGTTCATCTCATCTCATGTATGTATTCAATTCTGAAAGAAAAAGGCACAATTGCACCTTTCAGCAGAAGAGCTCTTCTCTCTATCCCAGCTCCCATCGGCTCAGCAAATCACCTTTTCCTCAGCTGTACCGCCTCGCCCTGCATGGCTGCATTTTAAACCTGATCTGCAATATGTTCTTAAAATAAAATGTTTTGCTATTGTTTTTACAATTAAATCAGCCTGGATGGCAGTGGGTACAATACAAGAAAGCAACAATTTCTGCTCTGGAAATGGATGGGGAATAAATTCCTCTTTTCAACTGACTCTACTGCCAACAGTCATACGTTGCAGCTTCTGTGGACTTCTGCATCCTGTGTTTTGATGACCTTTTCCATCTATGTTTAGCAGAAGCGCAGCTTTCCTGAGACAGTGCAGCCTGCCCTAACAGCCTGACACCAGCCAGTGCCAAATGGTTAAGCAGGGAGTGAGATCTGGTTAAACATTCAGCAGTCCTGTGACTCACAGCCTAGCCAACAATCATTGCATCTACACCGATTAAGTCATGTACAACAGCTTTTTCTTCCATGACTTTTCCTTACCATTGCTCAAGTACTTGTGCGGTGTTGTTCAGCAGTTGGTTTTACTTCTGCTGAAATCAAAGAGTGTTTGTCTGTTCTATATCTACTGCCTGGAAATTTGTCACAGTGAGTATATTCTCTACTTAACCCTTCAATATTTGCTCATGTTCTGCTTGCTCTAAATGATTTTCCAGTTAATTCCCTCCCAGCTATTTTTTTTTTTCTAAATCAAGAGACCCAAGTCCATTTAGTCACTCTTCAGATCAAAGGTGTTCCAATGACTTTGATCATCCTTGTTACTTCATTTCCCTTATAAGATGAAGCAAAAACCTGCAAGCAGTCTTCAACGTGTGGCATGATACAGATTTATTTACACTGTAGCATTTTCTGTAACATTTTCTGTACTGTTATCAACTCCCTTCCTCAGAACAGTTATTCCTTGCCTTTTTGATTACTAGAGGTTTCAATCTATTAGCAGTGATACCAAGATCTCAATTCTGATAAGACATGGCTAACTTAGAGCCTGATATCACACACAGACCATTAAAGGAGCTTCCTTCTCTTTTCCTTTATTTTACATGCTTTTCCCAGTTTGGTAAAGGCAAGTATATTCTTCCTCTAAAAAAACAAAACAAAACAAACACCTGTTTCTTCACAGCAGTCTACTGATTATTTTGCCAGATGGGCAGATTGGGATCAGTGTGCATCTTATATCCATGTCTGAAATCTGAAAAATTTGGTCTAAAAACAAAACCAATACAGCCCCCTCTCTCCCCCCCCAAATATCCAAGATCCAGTCAAAGGAATGCACCTTCTCCCCAACAGCACGTACTTTTCAGATGCTATTACAATCTCTTTGGTGTTATCCGATGTTGCTTCCTCTGTTTTTTCTCCTGTCAAATAAAAATACATTCAGTTTACATTCAAAGAGTAGGATGTAGGTGAGACTATAGTACTGAAAAGCTACAACAGAATATCTGAATATCTGTAAGTATGTTTATTTCTTGCGGCAAGCAAGGTACAATTCACAAAACTGGACTGAATTACTCTGTTCCATTATTTAGATTCCCTACATCACATTATTTCAAATTGTTCTGTCTGACGCACACAAAAGGTGGATGAAAGATGCAATACCATTCAACAAGGAATCACTTTCTTTTCCCATTTGTCTCGTGAGATACTCTTACTGTAATACATGAACACTGGAGCAGAACGTAGGCTGATGCTACATGCTGCATTCCTCTCTCTTCTCCCTGTCACAGCACAAGCAGTCTTCCTGATGCAAACACAGTAATCCTGATGTGATTATCTGTCAGCTCCTGAATGGCAAATTCTGTGTCTTCTCAAAGATTTAAATCTGGAAATGCTTATCTTGTACAATATTCAAATTCACACGTGAACAAACAACCTTACACTCAAACAAGCCCAACAATAAGTTTGTGCAAGCTCAAGGCTATTTTTTCCCCTTCTACTATAAAAGATCATCTGTTTTTCAGTGCTTCCTGAAGGATGCTTTCAAAGGACCACAAAATCCATCAATCCCGAAACTGACCTGCATCATCTTCTTTTTGCTGCTGTTTTATTTCATACACACAGTTTTGTGAAATACCTAATTTTTTGGGCCAAATTGGAATAGATAAGATTCTTTGTCCCCTTGGAAACTGTTCTTGTCCAGAGACCTAAGAAAGACAACATGCTTTTTCAGAAGAAATTTGATTAAAAAAAAACCCTGACGTGACCACACATTTTCTGTACATTAAAAATGTAAGCAAAAAACAGCCCCTTAGAATAAGCCTTAGAATGCTTATTCTGGGATCAAGTAAGGACAAAGACGGGCTAAAAACAACTACCCACTGGCAACAAACACCACTGGGGCTGTTTTCCTATTTTCTCATTGTACACAGTTCTACGCTTCCTATTAAATAGCTTTTGACATATCCAAGAGCTACGGCACACAAGAATTTACAAAGAAAACCATCTAACCTGAAACAGTTTAGCCTCAGCACCCAATCCCATGTTTGATTTTTACAATTATTCTAACCACTGTAATTCAAAGCTCATCTAAAACAAAAGTCATGTTCTCAGAGAGAACAATATGCAATTGATTAAGTGGTTATTTTCTCCTGCTTAAAGACCAGAGCACTGACAAACAGTGACACAATCATCCTGTGGATAACTGCATTTTAAGAACAATTCATTTGTTTGGCAGACTTTTCATTTCGGAGTGATAGAGGCAGATACAACATCCTGTAAGGCACAGCTAACAAATCCAGGCTTAACTCCACAGCAAATTTCTAGCAATTCTCTTTAATCAGAATCAACTTTTTTCCAGGTAAGAAATGAAAAGCTTACCTTCCCTATAGCAAGTCCTTCATAATTTAACTTCCCTTCCTTTATAAATCTGTACAGCGGAGAACCAGGAACAGAATTGAAGTCACCACAGATGATAATTGGGCAGAAGATACCATTCTTCTGAGGGGCGACGCTAGCAATCTCTGCCAGGAGCATTGCAAGTTGGGTCAGTTTGATATCCCCTCTCCTCGGGTTATACAGCAGATGCGTGTTAGCTATACAGATGGCAGCGTTAGTCTTACATGGAAATTTAGGCTGCAAAAGTAAGACTAGTCCAACGTTGTCTCTGTCCAAGAGTGGAATATCACGGCGAAAAAACTCCACGGGATTTGATGACATCAGGCTAAATTTAGAAGTTTTGAAGCAAATAGCACAGCCATCAGGTTTTCTTCCTGTCCGCATTTTGTACTCACAGTGATACCCTGCAGGAAAGGTAATTAAGAACAGAATGCTATTAAAACAATACAGATTCATTACAAAAAAAAAGTTACACTTCACACTACTTTTGCCCCTCCCACAGCATTAAAGACTCAGTCTGAAGTAAGGAAGCCTAAGGGAAGTTCACTGCACTCTTCACATTCTTTTCTTTAATGTTCATCATTGAACTCTGCATCTTTTGAGGTTAAATTTTCTGATGCTTATGTTATTTTGGAGGACAGATGACTTCAGTGGGAATTATTTGGTGTCACTAAATACAAAGCTGAGAGCAGAGTTCCTAAACAATATCCATCACAAACTCCCTAAGAGAAACTCAGACCTGAATGGTTTCTGACAGAAATACCAAAACAACTGGGTCCTGATAAAAAGAAACTTACGTAAAACTTAGTTCCTGTTTATCTTTCAAGTTGATGGGGATCATCCCCAGTATCTCGTTTTTCAAAAATAATTGTTTTAAGATGGCATTGAGCTGCCATCTCCAAGTCAGGAAATAGTTCAGTATTAACTGCCCCAAATAAATTTCAGCTAGAAATGTAAAAATGTAAGTTTTTAGTACTGTATTTATCCAGTATTCTTTAAGTGAGAAATTATTTAACATAACTAACGATACATAAGTAATCAAGTATCACTAGCAATCATTAGACTTCACTAATGAAGGCTTCAAAATATGGTTCAGTAAGGAACACAAGAAGCATTCTGACCCAACTTCAGTTTAAATACTGCAGGAAATTTGGCCCAATACCTTTCACAGTGTATAAGCATTTAAGTAGTTTAAGATACCAAGCATCTTCTTCTCTATTCATGTTAGAGAAAAAAAAAAATAAAATAAACTAAACAACCAAAATATAAAACACAAGTCACATCAATGGAAGTAGACTTGCATAACAAAGGCTTTTTTTCTGGATATTACCTGTGAAGCATATCAGTGATTAAAAAAAAAACCAACCGTACTGGCCATAAGATTTTCATCATACCCAAGGATTCCAAACTTGACTTGATCTCTTTCCTATAGTGGTCTTCTTGGACTTCTTGTAAACAAAGTACCTGAGGCAAAAAAAAGTTTACAACAAAAGTATCACTTTGTCTCTCTGTTGGCAGCCTCTGTACTTCCAGACAAAACCAAGAAGATGTTAGATTTTTTTTTTTTTTTGCCCCATAATCCTACAGAAGGATTCAGTCTCCCACTAAAAACAAAAACAAAACCTTAAAATGAAATATTTGCCAATGAAAACCAGCCGTTCAGTCTTGCATGTGCTTCGCACTAAATAATTTCTGGCACAGTTGAAGACACAGACTTCAGCTCTAGAGGTTCAGAATCTGACACTGCCATAAAGAAAGGTGCCCTATTTTCCCACTCTACATCTATCATCAGATGTGCTGAAGACACAACGCTGCACTGAATGGATCTTCAGCTATACTTGCATAAACTATTCTTAAATTCAGTGCCTTCTTTACTACACACTATTAAAGCATGCATTGAAGACAAAAGGAGATTTCTGTGAAGAGAAGGTTCTAATATTGAAAAATAATTTTGCTGCATGTCAGCAGAACATTGAAGTCATTTCAGAAAGACCAGGAAGTCAGGGACAAAAGGCAACCATGAGTATTGCATACTGTACAGTTAGCTTTTCCTCTAAGTTTGGACCATAAGTAATGCATTATAAATCATAAATCAGCCCATCCACTAAACTAAAAACCATCAAGGATTGGCTACCCCATTTCATCAGTTCTAATAAATATTTCATTTCATCTATTCTAATTAATAGCCACGTGCTTGTTTTCTACTCACATCTGCGTCCAGCTGTTTGATTTCTTGTAGAATGTTGGGAAATCTGTATGTCCAGATTAACAAACGCTGTCTGCAGTGTTTGTACAGGTGGGAGTTATCTTCTAACAAATTCTGTGAGAGGATGTTGTAGGACATGACTGTGAAATCAAATTTGGCTTCACATTCTCTATTACTTTGGTCAGTTTCTGCACTTTCCAAGACTTTCATTGTCCTGCTGTGCTGACAGAAATATTCCCAGTGTCTTTTGATATTTCCTGTTAAAAACACACGCAGCATAAAACCACATGACTTCTTACTGCTCTTAGAAATCATTCTACTACCAACTATTTGCCTTGGAAATTGCTTAACCAATTCTAAAAGCTCATCTGATTAGCAGTGATTTAGAATCTTCATTGAAGATGATCTTTATATAAGCATCCGTAAACAGCACAGCAGAAAACAGTTATATGCCCTGCATTTCTAATTACTTTGAAAACAGGAAACTGGCATGTTCTAAGGAGATTGCTGCTGTCATACCATACCACCCCACTTTGCTCCTTCTTCCTTGCAGGAAGGCTGCTGGCCCAGGAAGTCAAACCCAGTCTCAAAAACACAGGCTTATATCACTACCTGCCCCTACATCCTAAATGCAATGTATCTGCAATGAATTCAGCAAGGCTTCAAATATTACTTTCATAGTGGGAGAGAAGTCATGCTGCACCTTTGTGACACCGTAACATTTTTAAAACAGATGCTTTCTGGGAGAGGTGCCAAGAAAAACAGTAACTCAAAGGAGGTGGGCAATGTTGCATCTGACTTGTTACAAGTTCAAACAAGGCGAAGAAGCAAAAAACCCATCTTTTACCTTTCTTACTACTCTCACTTTTTTCATCTTGTGAGACAGAAACACATAAAGCTTCTTTCTGCTCAGAGAAGTTTGGTTCTTCTGGGGCTGGAGAATCCGGCTGGGTGCTGAGCCTCCTCTTCTTTGTCAGTGGTTCTTCTCCCTCAGATTTCATACTGGGGTTAGGCAGGTGAAAGCAAGAATTTTGTGCGAAGTTATCGAGCTGCCAATTAGAATTCTGAAATTGCCTCCAAGGTCCAAAAAATGTTGGGAGCCTCCAGTTTGCTGAGAAATCAACCGGAACAGGCAGAGGGAACGAGGCCCATGGGCAGTGTCCAGCCCATCTCATACAGGTGGGAACTGGGCTGCCAAAGGCAAATACCTGAGAACCGTTGACATGGGCGATCCAGTCTCGGCCCAGCCTCTGCACATGACGGGGCAGCATGGGGTGTCTACCAATGAAAGTGTACATTTTGTTACTTAAATCCAACAAAATGTGCCTATAGAAGGCTGCAAATGCAATATAAAAGCCCCTCTCTACAAGTTAACACACACAGGATATTCATTTTTCTATTAGTTCTAGTTCAACTACACGAGAGAAGAATCAGATTTTTAGATACCGCTTACACATTACAACCTCTTACTTGGAATTTCAAATGTAGTTGGCACATGTAGAAATGTAAACCTTAACCTGGAGGATGACTCGCAAAGCGAGACCTCAGGAACTGAGGCAGAAGAGGGAAAAGGATACAAGCGCCATTTAATTTTCACACTCTCCCTCTTAGTAACTGTCTACAATTCCGCCTTGTTGCATTCAATGCCACATCTTCCAAGCGCTCAGCAGGACAACTTTTACAAAAAGTCACTCGGCGTGCTGCTTGAGCTTTTTTAAAAGGCTATTAGAAAGGAGTCAGAAAAGCACCGACTTGCAAGAAGTCGGGAATTTGCTGAAAGAGGCGCTGACAAGGACCGTGCCATGCCGACAAGGAAACAGGCGGTACGGATGCTCACTTCCTTTCAGGCGCCGCAGACAGCAAAGAAATCTCACGCCTGCGCCGACTTCCGCTGGGAACCGCAACGGCGCTTAAAGCAACCGGCCGGCACGGCCAGGCCTCCCGCAGCCGCACGCGGCGCCCCCAGGTTCCGGGCCTGTTCTCCCGGCAGCTGCCCCACCGCCCAAGGGAGGCCGACGCGACACCCAGGCCCGGCGGAGGCCTCACGGCACCCTCAGGCCCGGCACCCCGAGACCTGATCCTCGCCCGCCGCTCTTTACCTCACGGCGGGCCCAGGGCCGGGCCCGGCCCTGCGGAGCCCCGCTAGCTGCTCCACCGAGCCCTGGCTCCCCCAGAAGGGGTCATTCCAGGGCAGCGCCAGCTCCGCCCGCCGCCGCCGCCACAATCCCTGCCCGCCGCTTACCTCGCGAGGGCGCTAGCTAGGCCACGCCCGCTCGCCCGTGGGACTTGTAGTCCGAAGGCCGCCCTGCCGTCCCGCCGCCATCTTGGTTCCGGGAGGGCCGGCGCAAAGCCGCGCCGCCACGTTGGGCCCAGGGCGGGGTGAGGCGGCAGGCACCATCTTGGTTGTGGGCGGCCCGCCCTGCTGTGAGGAATTCGAGCTAGTGGGAGCTTGTGCGTCACCTTCGGCTCTCAGAGAAATGAAATGCTGCTGTTCTTACGTGCTAGGCATATTTTGGAGACAGAAAAGACACCCGCAGGCAGCAGCATCAACGGCAGTTATTTTCTGGAGCTGAGAGAATTTTCCCATAGCATGTAATTATTTTCTTTATTCTGATGTGCAGTAGCTGTGAGGACAGTTTTTTTTTTTTTTTTTTTTTTGTTTTTTTTTTTTTTAAGGTAAGCCTTTAAGAAAAGAAACATATGTTGGTGAACACAGAAACTGTAAACAAAAAAATAGAAGTAAGAGATTAATTTAATCATACATTGAAAGTCTTTTCACTTCTGTATTTTGTTATTATTTCTTACTTTGCCCCAAGTAAATTTTAATAACCCAGTAACATTTAATTACATGTAATCTCTTCTAATTATTATTTTGTATATCTAGGCTATACTACCTATGTTAAGAGAGATTCTTTGAAATAGGTACCCCCAAATACAGGTTTGTAACTAGCAGCCAAGTGTTTCATGAATCATTTGAGCTTTGGAAACTCCCCAGTGATCTGAGGCTACTGGCTCACTGAGGAATGCTTTGATTGATTATGCTGAACACGAGAACAGCCATGGTGCTTCAGCAAAATGGTCCAGAACTCAGTTTCCTGCCTGCTAGAAGGGGTTGGCAAAAGATGCCTCAAGATGTGCAGGGACCAAGCAAACTGCAGCTGAATGCTTTCCCTGCCTCTAGCTGCTTTGAGTGTAGTAGATTTCCTGAGCCTGATGCAGTTGTCTTTTCAGTAAATCTTAGTGGCTCTCTCCCCAAATACTTGAACTTGTGAACTTTTTCACAGAATCACGGAATCGTAGGAGTTGGAAGGGACTTCTGGGGATCATCTAGTCCATTCCTGCTGATAAAGCAGGTTTCCTACAGCAGGTCACACAGGAAGGCATCCAGGTGAGTTGTGAATATTTCCAGAAAAAAAGACTCCCTCCTTGGGCAGTTTGTTTCAGTGCTCTGTCCCCCTCGAAGTACAGAATTTTTCCCTCATGTTAGTATAGAATGTCCTGAGTTCCAGTCTGTGCCCACAGCCCCTTGTCTTATTGCTGGGTACCACTGAAAAAAGCCTGGCCCCATCTACTTGACTTCTGCCATTTGTGTAAGTGTTGATAAGGTCCCCTCTCCGTCTCCTCCAGACCAAACAGCCCCAGGTCTCTCAGCCTTTACTCATAAGGGAAATGCTCCAGGCCTTTAATCATCTTTGGTGCCCCCCACTGAACTCTCTAGAAGTTCTCTGTCTTTCTTGAACCGGTGAGCCCAGAACTCAGCACAGTGCTCCAGATGTGGCCTCAGCACATTTTATTTTATTTTTTTTAACGTGCTCCAGGATACCATTATCCTTCTTATTCACAAGAGCAAACTGCTGGCTTTTTTTTTTTTTTTTTTTTTTAAATCAACAACATAATTTGAGAAAAGTTGTGCAAGGCTAGCTAGTATTCATCATGTGAAAGCTTGTTTATCTATTTATCTAATTCCTACCAGCCTCTGGCTGTGTTGAAAGAGACATTAAGCAGTCCACTCCCATCCATCTTCTCCATACAACTCATAATTCTGTGGACCATTAACATATCCTTTTGTGTTATTTCTTCTTCCCTGCCAACCCCCCCCAGACCGTTTTCTTGTTCTAAATGAAAAACAAAACAAAACAAAAAACTATTCCATGTCTCTGATTATTTTTATTTTCCTCCTTCTGATGTTTCCTAGTTCTAATATTTATATATTCTCTGACTATACAAAATATCTAAAGCTTAGTCCAGCCATAGAACTGTAGTGTTGCAACACATCCCTCTCTATCTACTGAACTCCTACTGCTGCTTCTCTGCTCCTCTTCCCACCAAACTAACTTTTGAATAAGGCAGATTTAAAATTGGCATGTTTTTCTCAGAAGGTGCAGAGGAGTTAGCTTTTGAAATTATGTATGTCCTGCTATGTCATCCACTAGAGATTAATCAGTGATGCCTTCAGTACCACTGGTTTCTGTTGGTACCATTAAAACCTCAGAACTTCCACATCTTATAAGATGTAATTAGTAAGGACCACTTCATAAGCAAGTTCATGTTGGAAGTGGTTGTTTAAACATGTTTTTGCACTGGAAGGTTGTATGAGCTGCATGTTATAAATACTTAGTATGCCACACTGGAAAACATTTCCTTGTTTCCTTGAGCAAGTGTGTCCTCTGGATTTATGCTACCACCAGTGAAATCGGAGCAGCTGCAAACTTTTCACAGCTAATATTACAGAAGATTAGAATAATAAAGTATCCTGAGGTCATTCTAACCCCTTCCTTTCAAATTTAAACAAAACCTTAGAGTTTGTATGTACGTTAAAATTACTCCAACCAGAAGATCTTGTATTGGAATTTTTCCTTTAATGAAACTTCAGCCACATTATCATTGGTATAAGAAATCATTCACTATCCAATGGATTTCATTGCTTGTCTTTAGCTTTGGGACTTGGAAACTTACTTTGGAAGGATGGTGATCAATACCAATTTATCTCTGAAGTAATTCTTTTGATATTTACTTGCATGAGGTTGGATATACCACCTTGTCAAAGACATAAAAGACATGCTTCTCTCTAAAGATAAGTGGGTGTGGCAGGTGAGGTTCTATCCATGTCACCTTCTCTTCCTCATCTCTTAAGAAAGTGTCTACCCAAAGCAGGGTAGACCAGACAGTTCTTAGAAAATAAAAGTATAAAGAATCTTTCTAGCAACTTGATAGAATCATAAAATCATTAAGGTTGGAAAAGACCACTAAGATCATCTAGTCCAATGCCAACCCACCCCCGCCATGCCCAGTGACCACATCTCTCAGTGCCACATCTCCACGTTCCCCAAACGCCTCCAGGGATGGTGGCTCCACCACCTCCCTGGGCAGCCTGTGACACTCCTCACTGCTATTGCTGAGAAGAGATGTTTCCTAATATCCAACCTGAACCTCCCCTGATGTAACTTGAGGCCATTCCCTCTCATCCCGTCACTGTAACCCAGGAGAAGAGGCTGAACCCACCTTGCCAGCACCTCCTTTCAGGCAGTTGTAGAGAGCAATGGAGTATCTCCTGAGCTTCCTCTACAATGTTCTCTCCATCAACTCCCCATAAGATCTGTGTTCCAGATCCTTTACAAATTCCTTGCCTTCTCTGGATGTGCTCGAGGGCCTCAATGTGTTTCTTGTAGTGAGGGACCAGTGATAGCTTGGAACGCCAAAGTAATCCAAATGAATCCGAGAGACAGGGTGCTATGAAAGTCACTTTCGGCCATTTCTGCCCTATGAGGTGTATATCCCCACACAGAATGACTCCTATTGGGATTGCACTGCTCAGAGCAGCAGCTGTGCGTGGATGCTACAACATTCCATTTGGAGGCACTGAGCTCCTCCGACCCGATCTTGCTGAGCTCTCCGGGCTTTCACAAGGAAATCTGAAGGCACGTGATCCGTCTTCAGTCAGATCGGTCCCGGGAGGGGAACGTCCCGCTCCGTCGCGCCTCCTCCCCTGCCCGCGGATGTCCGCACAACCTCCCTTACGCCCCTCGGGCGGGGCTCCCCGAGGCGGCGGGCGGGAGGGCGCGGCCGGGCCCGGCACCGCCCGGGCGGGGCGGGGCGTTCTGGGGCTCCGCTTCCGCCGCGGTCGGGGCCCGTTGCGGTGGCGGGCAGCATGCTGAGCCCGCGGGAGCGCGGCGGGGAGCTGGCCCGCTTCTACACGGTGACGGAGCCGCGGCGGCACCCCCGCGGGCACACCGTCTACAAGGTCACGGCGCGGGTGAGTCAGCGCCGCCCGGGGCCGCGCCGCCACCGCCCTGGCCTCAGCCTCGGCCCTCTGCCCGCTCCCCGGCGGCGGCCGCAGCCCTTCCTTTCGCCTTTCCCGGCCGGCTGGGAGGCCGCCGGGCCGGAATAGTTGTGCAGGGACCCCTGTCTGCAGGGCTGTGTGGGCTCGGGCTTCTACCTTGTGACGGTGCTGGATGCTTGTCGCCTCCATCTTCCCATTGAAGCCCAGTGGGGAGAAGGAGTATGTAAATACGTGGAGAAAGCTGCGAGAGGAGTGGGAATTCAGGTCGTGGGTTGGTGGGTGTATTGAGACCACCAGGAAGGACAGGGTGTGTTCAGATGGCTGTGGTCGTGCGGGTGCTGTGGCTGTAGGTGTTCTGCCTGGGAAAACAATGTATCTGCGTGTATCCCCCTAGCCTTGGCATTTTGTACGTCTTTATGCTGTAGCACTCAGGTTGTTTGAGCACGATCACATTGCATGAAATCATTTTGTACAACTAAAAAACTATTTTTAATCTTATTCCCTGCCCTGCTCCCCCATCCCAAATGAGGGCTCCAAAAGTAGTGTCTCCTATTCTGATGTGTTGGCACACAATGTCAGAGGCATACGTTGGTGGTACGGCAGCAGAGGGTGAACCTTTCCACCAGTATCCCATTACGTGTTGTTGCTGTGTGACAGATGGCAGCAGAGGGGCACTCTGACAAAATGGTGTCTGACATGGGAGTGCATGAGACAAAGGTATGGAATTTAATTCCTCCATATGGAAAAATTAGCACCCACTAATGGTCACCAACACTTGTTGAACGTTGATGGAGATCAAAGAGTGGGTGTGAGCATGTGAGGTGGTGGGTGGTGTGTTTCAGAAGAGATGAAAACGATGTGAAAGACAAGCAACGTTCTGGACAGCCATGCTTACGTAGGCTCTTGTTCATTGCTAGTGAATATACATAGTTAATGGTGGTGACTGAGTTGAAAAATAGTGGTTTGTAGCTGAGAATTTGCACTGTCAAAGAGTGTTGTTGTGTTCTTTGTTGTATTTTCTATGGAAATAAATTGTAGGCATTACTTTGGGAGCAATCTACAGATGTGTATTAATGCAAACACAGATATGGGATGTGCTAGATACTTTTTAGTCAAATAAACTACTTTTTATTAAGAGCCAGATAAAGGTTGTGGGTTTTTTTGTTTTTTGTTTTTTTTTTTTTCCCCTCAGAGATTTTAATCTAAAAGAGAAAGATTAGGTTGTGCTTGCAGTCGTAGAGCCTCTGGATGAGGATTAAGGGGATGAATCGCAAAGCAGATGTTGTCATGGGTGTCTGCTATTGGCTGTCCCCTCCATGATGGTAGTACAGATGAGCTATTCTGTAGGCAGTTAGGGGGAATCGTAGCATCAGCTGAACTCATCCCTATGGGAAACTTCAACTATTCAGATGCAAACTGCTGTGACAGCTGAGTCTAGGGAATTCCCAAAGCAAGTTGAAGATAATTTCCTGTCGCAAGAAATAAGTGAGACAGCTAAGGGGGAAAAGTGTCCTCCTAGAGCTGTTTGAGAACAGGGAAGATCCTGTGGGAGAAATGTTTTGGCCACAGCACTTTTGCAGTGGTTATGTTCAAACGTTTTGGAGGGAAGAGAAGAAAGGTCAGCATTACCACTCTGGACTTCAGGAAAGGAAACCTTATCCTACCTGAGCTAGCAGTGTTCTCTGGGAATCAATTTTGGAAGGTTTGGGGGGATGCAAGCTGGTCACTCTACAAGCACCACCTTTTAAAGTCCAGCAGTGGGCAGTCCTGCTATGCTGTAAGTCAAGCAAGTGGGGCAGCTCAAAGGGTTGCAGTGAATGGGGCTGGCTGGTGGCTGGTCACCTGGCTGGTGGTGTTCGACTAAGGAGAGCAATGGGTGCTACGCCGGGGCAGAGTAATGGTGGGCACAGTGCAGAGTGGGAGATGGCAAAGTAAGTGATGTTTTGGTACTTGCAGACTTGTTCAGGAACAGGCTGTGGTTAACTAGCAAGAAATGACAGTGTGTCTCTGTGTCCTGTAAGTTGGAGCCATGCTGGTGGTGTGGTTTTCCAGGAGATGCAGTTCAGAATTGGGGAGCATGCGGGCTGCCGTGGTTTTCCTGCAGAACAAGGAGTTGGTCAGCCTTTGATCTCTCCAAACTAAGCTGTTAACCAGAGATATTTCATTCTTTGCTGCGTTTGGATGTTGAAAGTCCTCGAAATACAAAATTATTTAATTTATGCAGCAAAGCATGTGCTGTACGAACAAATGTAGAAATACAAATAGCATTTGTCTCACCTCAGTGGGTCTCTATTTGGTAATCTATTATGTAGTACTTGAAGAGAGGATTTGAAGTGTTATACGTTGGACAAAATGATTTAAAAATAATTCAGTGAACATATGTGCTGCAGTCCCTTTTTCTCCCCTCCTATTCCTCCCTCCTGTTCCTGCAGTGCTCTGGCTCCACGGTTGATATCGCAGCACTACAGCTGTATTGGCTGAGCTGATGCTCAGCAGCTCTGGGGGACCAGCAGGAATAAAGTGGGGTGGGTCTTCCCCTTGCATTGAATCCCTTTCTGACAAACCCAGGGCACTAAGTGTGTTAGTGGAGATGCTTTTCAATGGTGCGTGAGTGAATCCTTTCTGAAACTATACTGAGGCCACGTATTTATAAAGTAGATTTGATAAGTTAACCATAAGCACAGAGAGAAGTATCAGGAAGTGATGATAGCAAGAGAATTGCTTATATGATATCTGAAAATGTAGGCTACTCATAAAAGTTCAGAAAATTGAGCAGATTACAGTTACTAATTAACATTCAAGTGAGTTGCATTGGCTATCTGCAGGAATGGGCTATTCTGAAATACGTAGCTCAAAGGTGAGGTATGAGATCCTTTTAGAGTTTCTCTTTTCAGATCATAATGCAGTAGTTATGCATTGCTCAGCTCACTGATGGGTATCACAATGATATTTTTAAAATAGATGGAAGTTGCTTGCATTAAAAATTTGCAGAAGGAGCCAATTGCATTGATCCTTGTGGGAGAGCTAAAAATGTGCATTGAAAACTTGGGGGTTAGTTTTTTTTTTTTGGCAAGTCTCTGGATTGATTGTAGGTTTGGTTGAAGGGGAAGACCTCTTTTGGGGTTGACCTTCAGGAAAGGATATGAAGAACAAAGTAGGAAGACGCATTAATTATTACATACTGACTTAAAGTTGGCAGGACTGATAGATATAGAAGGCAATGTAACATTATAACAAGTGTGGAACAGGGCCTCTGGGTTTTATTCCAGATTCTTACTAACTGGCTGGTAATTACTCATCTCTCTGGGTCTCCTTCTGCCCATCTGGTAACTTTCCTAGCTGCCAGAACTGGTGTAAGACTTTAACTAAAGGTGAACTGCAAAGCCAAACAGCTGGTGCACGCCCTTTGGTCTCCTTTTGACACACAGCCGTACCTGTGGTACCTTCCTTCCTCAGCTCTACAGCTTCCCTACATCAAGTACGCCAGCTGCTGGAAAAGAAGAGTCGGAATTGTTCACAAATGGTACACAGGCACTGGCTGGTAGTGAATGAGGTAGCACAGCCACAAGGTTAAAGTTTGGTCAAGTTGCCAAATGTGACATTAGTCACAGATTTCCTTGGATTGAGGAAAAGCTGAGGAAAGGTTTGTCAGTGCAGGCTGTTACAAGGGACTGACAACTGAGTGATGCCCGAGGCCAGTGAGATGGTGTTCTATGCTGTGGAACGTGAGTTATGTAACTCCTTCAACTTGCCCCTGTATGTCACCAGTTCACAGTGCTAATTTTTTTGGGGTGTGTCAGTGTGCTGATAGTCTGAGTTTGGGGTGAGAGTTTATTTATGCCCTGTTTATTTAACACTGGGCTAATTATTGTGCTAAATGGCTTTGGCTGAGTTATAATGAAGGACATACTGACTGACACAAGGTAATTGCAGTTATGAAATAAAGATACCTGGTTTCAATGTGTTTGATTGTGTGGATGTGCTCTTACTGGTGTGACCAATGCAGAACTTGGATTACGAAGGCTTTTTTGCAGTCAATGTTTATTTATGGAAAGAAATCCTGACAAAACACAGGCTTCTTGATGGTGTGCAGTCAAGCCTCATTTTCACTGCGGTTTTCCTCTGGACAAAGTCATTTATAATTAATTAGGGAAAGAGCGTTTAAGCAGAAACAAATACAGAAGGATGGAATTAGTTGCGTGTGCACGTTGATGGCTGTAAGTGAAGTGAAAATACTGTCTTAATGAATACAAAGCCTTACATTCACAGCAAGGCAGTGAGTGACTTGTATTACGCTAAGCATAGCCTTTATTAGCTCTGCTTAGTGGGAGTAATGTGACCCAAATATGAAATAATAGAAGAAGATGGGAAAGATGAGGGGGGTGCCCTCTGTGCAGCTTTGTTCTGTGAGATGCCTTCTGTGCCATTTTGCCTGGAATGTCCGTCTTGATTTCTCATCCCAGCAACCACCTCTGCTGCTGGAACTCCCTACTGTGTTGTGTTTGGATATTAGACTTCTGTGAAACTAATGAAAACAGTTCTAAGTGCAAGGAGAAATATACAAGTGCCTGCCTTTTTCCAGGTTTTAATTTTCAGCAACAAATCACTGCGTGTTTCCATTTGGAATAGTAAAGCTGAGCGCTAAATGTTTTTGTTTTCCTTTTCAGATTGTTTCAAGAAAAAATCCAGAGGATGTCCAGGAGGTAACAGTTTAAACTTGTACAAATGTCTTTACATATCACATTATGCCTTTTGAAGTATCTTTGATGTAATTTAGCAATTTCTGTGTATTTTGTCATCGTAATTGTGCAAACTCTTTTTTTGTATGTTTCCATCTGTTTTTTGCTTTCATACTTGAAAACAGTCGCTGGTGTAACATGTTGCAATTCTGCCCTCGGTGATGAATGTGACTTGAAACAAAGTCTTAGGAAGTAAAGTGTCTTTTGATGACAAGAAGGCTTTGATAACTTTGCAAGCTCTTTTCTCAGGGCTGGAATTGGCAAATTGATGGTTACTTAACTCCTACTGGTAAAATTAGAGATCAGTCTGCAATCCAAGTCTTAGGTCTCAGCTGTAGGTATTACAGTCCTCTTTAACCAATACTTCATGGAAAGCCTACATCATTACTGGCTATTAGTGAGCAGGGAAAATGGAGGCACGTGGGAGTAATTGAGGGAGATCAGACTACAAGTCATATATTATGCGTCTCCCTTTGAGGATCCTTAAGTATTTTCCCATGATGTACTTTGATAAAACTTCTGAATTGCTTGCTCTTTGCCTCTTCCAAAAAGGCTCTGAATAAGCCTTGTATCACTTTAATGCCTTGGAAAATCTATTTTTTGTTTCCTTCTTGATTTCTTTTAGACTAATGACTTGACATTGCTCATACTATTATGATGTACATGCAGTATCTTCCTTCAAAAGCACAACCTTATGGCTTTTCAGACATTGAGTAACATGCATATGTTGAATTTCTGGTGCAGTCTCTTACCACAGTTGAGGAGAACCTGGATAGTTGATGAAAGAAGAGCCCATAGATGAATTCATTGCATCTGTATGGTCAGACATGAGTTACTGATTAGTGGCTTGGCAGAGGTGAGACTTGCCTGCTACACCCAATACCCTTTTGTTGCATCTTTCTTTGAATTCTTGAGGATGAGACAAGCATGAGCATTCATGCTTCTGGCTTTTTTTTTTTTTTTTTTTTTCTTAAGCTATAGAAGATTAAAAGTCTATCAGAATCAGAGTGATCACAGAGCTAGTGGTAGACCTGTGTGACTGTAGCTTGTAGCTCAGTCTCCTCTTCCAGAGAGACTCCTGAGTTGAGCCTACACGTGTGCACCCTCTGCCAGTACATTAATCTTCATTTGTGGGAGAAACACTTTATAGCAGCTGTTGATGAGCTGTTCATCAGTAAAATACATTGAGTGTCTTTCAGCTAGTGTACTGCATGAATATATTTTAAATAATTTTGAAATAAACAGCAAAGCCATATCCTTCAGTCCTTGCTTTACTTTATAGATGCAGGCTAGCCTCGCAGGATTCCACACACTTTAGTCAACATGGGAACGTGAATGTGCCATGAACTAGTTGATAATTTTTCCACTTTGTACTATATCAAAGTAATTATTTTGCATGTGATAGTGTGGTAGCGTGATGCAGTTTTGTTATAAGCAAGCATCTGAAAGTTCCTAGTTACTAAAAGCAAGACTGCAGACTGTAGTTGCTAGAATTATAGTGGGAAAACAACATACACTGGGAGCTTTGCTGTTGTAGTGATCTCCTGTGAAGTGAAAGACCTGTGGGCAGTGTTTGAAAGAAAAAAAAAAGATGCTTCTAATCTGCTCCTGCTGAAAATAAATTATCTCAGTTTTCTGGAATATTTGTTTGGAAATCCAACAGACAGAATTTTGTATATTCAGCAACCCTCTTACTTTATGGCCTCCCTGTGCAACCACTTCCCACTTGGCCATGCCTGCCTACGTTTTCAGAAGTCTTTTAATGGCATTGCTGTGATGCTAATAAATGAGTAACGTATGTGCAGCTGTATGTAAGGCCATGTACAGTCATCTCAATTCTGCTTTCTGTCAGCTCTTCTAACTGCACTTTGGAATACCTTTAGTGCACAGTCTCTCCCGCTGCAGCCAACTAGAGTTCAGGATGTCCTCACCTGTTATTGTTGGGACAGGAAGGAAGGTAACTTTGTAAGGGATTTCTTCTCAGAAGAATGACGTTAATGCAAAATTGTATGTGGAGGAGTTAACAGATACTGAAGGGCTTGTGGCATTCATTTCAGTTTCCTTGCTTCCGTGTGTTGATGATGGCAACATAGCATATGAAGTCATTCTAGTTAGGGCAGTCCATGGTTGATTTTCTTTTTTTTCATCCATAATTTGCTGAGGAGAAAGGGTTATTTTTTTGTGGAAGGCAGAGATCAGATGAGTTAATAGAGATACAGTGGCTCTAGCTATGATGAGCACACACATTATTCCCTTACAAGTCTAATTCCTGTTTTATGATATACTTGGTGTGCTTTGTTGGGCCTCAAAGTATAGCACGTCCTTCCTCCAAATCTAATTTCTGAAGAGTATATTACAGTGGGAGCTTTGCTAACTTTGCTGAGCTGTGTGCATGCAAAGGCATGATTTCCATGAGCTTGTGAAAGAGTTTAGGATGACCTTCACTCATTTGCTTTACAGGCCTTTTATGTTTTCTCCTCCTGGCTACTGGGAGAACGCTTGCAGCAGCAAAAAATAATACTCCGTAGTGGAACAGAATTTAATGCTCTTAATTTTTGGCAACATTTCTCAGTGTCTCCAAATACTGGCTATATTGCAGCTTGATGTTTTGTGACTTTGCTTTCTTAAGAAACTCAATAAGTGCTGATCACCCACTTTCTGGATATTGGATTAAATGGAAGTACAGCAGTAGAGAATTATTGTTTCTGGAAGTCAAATCACTAGTTAACTTTCTTGAGAGATTCTGTTTTTAATTGCCTTGCCTGTTGAACTCCATCAAATACTAATTGCAGCTGAGTTCTGGATGCATGTGTGTGGTAGGTAGGTGGGGCTGAGTCAGGACAGCTACTTTACACATAATTAAATTGATGAGGTGAATAGAGTGTTGCCATGGTAAAGCTTTACATATACACTCCTAACGGTCCTATTGCCTTAAATCTGCACTGTTCTGTAGGTATGACTTGCATCCACTGACAATTGGAAGGCCTCTGACCTGGTGCTTAAAAGGAAAAAAAGAATTACTCAAAAATCAAACCTTTTACTTCTCTCTAAATCTGATCTCCTTGAGGAAAGCAAATTTTTTTCAATTATGATTGCTCATGAGAATGCAACTGGTTAAACCATAAATATATGGAATATTTAAAATGGTGTTTAGTTGTGTTCACTTGATTGAGACTTGTGACTGAAGGAACACTGGAATCAACTTATGAATTTATTACACCCTCTTTGTTTTTCTTTGTTCTATACTAGTCTCTTTGCATTAGTGTTGAGTTTTATTACCATGGCTTAATGAGTCTAGCAAAAAATGCCTTTGTTCTTTTTCTTAATTTATTTTCCTAAATCTTGTTAGCAAACTCATTAGCAGTCAAATGCAAATTCTGTTGCTTGATTTTTCTCCTGATCTGATTTTCCTACTGGGTTTCCTTCTTTCTCAAATGGCAGGATACAAAGAATGGGATGGAAGAAGGATAATGTAGATACCTGGCTGCAAGATGGCTACTTCTTTCTGAAAAGGGCAGATCAGGAAAATCCATTGTAATGAATGCTGTCCTTGCATTTCTGAAGTCTAGAGTACAAAAAGAATTGTTCAATTTTTTTACCATGACTATTAGTAATAAAAAATTTGGGCTTGCATTTGCACACGGTCAGCGTTTTATGTAGATGCATAAATTATCAGCTAGTTTGTAGTCCTTGGTGCTTAATGCTCTATCCATAAGAAATCCTCTGTCTATAAGATTCTGTAAGAATCCTTTACTTGTACTGATTCATTTTTCCTAGTTTTCTCTTGCTGTTGTCTCTTCCCCATACCTGCGCCAAGCACAGCATGCTGTTCAGTTTTGGATAGTGAAATGCTCCCATTTAGCTTTTCTTTTTTTCCTTCTCTTAGTGGCTCCTTGTAACTGGTCTGCATCGTGGCTGAAACATTGCTGCTTTCACCCTCTGTGTCCTTTTTTCACCTTTTCCTTAATGTTTAGTCTGTACGCTGCAGTCTTGTTAGCCAAAATGGGGTTGGGGACAGGTACCTAATCACTATTTTTTATGATTGTTACGTTTGTCAGTTCAGATTGTATATTTTTGCTAAATGTGTTTGCTGAAGGTAGTGATCTGATTTGCTTGAAAATGTATTTGTGCTTTGAACAACAACCCTACTAATACTCCCCACCTCTTTCTGTGCTTCAGATAGTCGTTTGGAAGAGATACAGCGACTTTAAGAAGCTGCACAAAGATCTCTGGCAAATTCATAAGAACCTCTGCAGGCATACAGAACTCTTTCCACCTTTTGCCAAAGCAATAGTGTTTGGTAAGCATGATTTCTTCCTGAATTGCTGAAATGTATTGATAACTCAGAATCCATGAGTACATTTTGTTTTGCAGCTGCGTGGAGAAGTCTTTCCTATGTGCTTTTGAGCTCAGTGTTTTTGGTTTGTTGTGAATGTCTTACCGATAGGTGGGCTGCTTTCACAATTTGGTATTTTTATTATTATTTTTAAATGGAATTACTTATGTGCTTGTGCATTTTAGAGAAATAAGCACTTATGTTTGTTGATGTAATATGTTCTATGAAAGTCTCTTACAGTGAGGGTGGCGAGGCTGGAACAGATTACCTCGAGATGAGGTTGATGCTCTGTTCCTGGAGACTTTCAAGGCGAGGCTGGATAAGGCCCTGAGCAACCTGATCTAGCTGTGGTGTCCCTGTTCAGTGCAGGGGAGTTGGACTAGATGGCCTTTAAAGGCCCCTTCCAACTCTAAGGATTCTTTATGTGTTAAACATTAGTTCCCTGTTTTCAGGAGCACGTTGTTTGTATTAGCTTTGTGAACAGTGCTTGAACAATGTACAAGACTATCATATATAAACTGTTTATTGATGAGTTACAGAGAAGTACAATGTTGGAGAAAATATGTTATATTTAATTATAACTATCAGTTGTATACTCCTTTGAGGTCAGTATTACATAAAGCTATTAATTATACATAGGAGGGCTGTGACTCTACATGAGAAATATGTGGCAAAAGCTACTTAGCCAAAAAGGGTTTTATCGTAATCCAGATGGAAATCATCAAGAGTAGCCATAGATGGATTTTCACTGAAGCAGTATGGCTCTGTATAGAACTCCATACAGAACCAATTGCACTGTCAGCTACTAAAGAAAAAAACATTCTGTGCCTCTCAAGGAAAAACCAACCAACCAACCAACCAAAAAGGCCATCCAATCCTCCCGAGTGTTAAGGCTTAAAATAACTTGAACATTAAAATGTAATATCATGTTGTGTAACATTGTATTTTGAACCTTATCTTGCTGGATGTGCAATATCTTGAGCTTTAAGCCTTTTTGTTGTGTAGTGTATCGTATTGTATTTTTAACAAGTTGTGTGCCTCCTGTGCATGTTGCACTTCTCACAGCATTTTTCATATTTTTTTTCCTTGGAATTTAATGTTTGTGTGTTCACTGTTTTTCAAGTTTCATGGCATGCCTCTTGTGTACAGTTTTGCACCTTTTCTCCATTTTTTGGCATCTGTGTGTGTTTTTTTGTGCATCTTTGGATGCGGTGCATTTCAGCTGGGTGGGCCTTTAGGTGTGCTCTTTTTTTGTGTTTATTTTTCACGTGTCTTTTTAAGCAGCCAACGTGCAGCTGCTGCATGTTTCCACATTTTCCTCATGCACTCTTTGTAGACATGCATGTGGCATAAGCTTTTGCACATTTTTTCCTTGTCCCTTGCTGGTGTGTTTCAGCCTCTAGCATGCGTTTGACATTTTTACCATTCACTGCTCATCTTTTCACATGTACTATGTTTTGATGTGCATCTAGTGTGTGTTTTTGCTTGGTTTTTTTTTCCTTGTATGGCATTTTCGCATGCATTTAACACTTTTTTTCCCCTTTCTTGCACCTTGCTGTTCTTTGCATACTTTATCTACATTGTTTATTCTTTTTATATTGCACAGTGTTTTTTGTTGATGCATTTTTTATTTTAAATTATGATTTCTTGGGGTAAGCGTGAAAAGAAAATAACAAAAAGCCCCAACCCCCTGTGACTTTGATAGGCAGACCTGCCAGTTCACGGAGTGCCATAGCAGAGGTGGTTCAGTCACCCTTCATTCAGCAGTGCTGTTGTGCAGCTCTGGGCTGTGGCACTGTAGCAGTATTTGCTGGCAGCCCTCTTTTTCCTCCTGTGTCAAAGAAACAGTTGGAAACTCCCGTGGAGACAAAACCTCCACCTTCAAAGCACAACTTTTCCCTTAGTTTCAGGACCAAATTCTGCCAGACGTAGAGTTTTTGCTACCTAGTGCTACCATGCTTATTCTTGTTCACTGTGCTGCATGTAGGGATGGTGCTGGAATGTTTTAAAGAATATGTGAACATAAACAAGTGGAAGTTGGCTTGCAGGCTGTGTGCAAACTACTCTCGGGGAGGTACTGACTTAGCCTGCTATTGTTAGAAATGTTCAAGTGATGGGCAAGGAGGCTGAGCTCTGGTGTAGACTTCATGGGTCTCTGTGCAGAGCTGTGTAAAATTCCTAGTTTGTCTTTCACAACAGGTACATTACACTCAGCTCTTGGGTCTTTTTATGGCTTATTTATGAAGTTGGAAGAGGAATAAGCTTCACTGTTCTGTCAGAATTTGTGCACTGATGTTTAAAAAGAGAGTGCCGTATTAGTTTCATCTTGAGATTATTTTTATGTCTCATTTACAAACTAGAGTGCTTGCTGGACAAGTTATTCACAGAGCCAACATTTGCAATCTGTAATGTAATGTTAGGTAGAAGGTATGGTATCTATTCACAAGGGAGGGGGAAGAGAAATTAAAATGGAGGTTGAAAAGAGTGCAAACTTCTAATTACTTCTAAAGTAATTTAATTGTCAGAAATACAGATTTGGGGGCTGTTACTGTCTATAAACATGGGACAAATAGAACTAAATCCCTTTAAAATCTTTCTTTTGTATGGAACAAACAAATGTAACTGCAGCATACATTCAAAGAGAGGGAAATCTACAGAAGGACTCAGTGTAGTTGTTGACAAAACACTCTTTAAAGTTAAAAACCAAACTAAGCAAAACTTACTAAGTTTGAATGAAAAATACAGGAAAGAAAAAATGAGGTAAAAAATTTTAAATAATTCATAGATAGCAGAAAGGAACAGAAATGTCCTATTTTTTCCAATTTAAGATTTATCTTCATTTAAAACATAAAATTTTACAACAGCTCCTTCCACGCTTCTTCTACTTCGTAATGGGTGCTGTGTGTCTTATTGCCACCTACAGCATGTATCTTCAGTCCTAGTGCTTTTTGTATTAGAGAAACATGTAGCCTTTGTGGACGCTGAGTTTTTGACAAACTTCTTTTCAGTCTTGTTCAGTTAAAGGTGAGCTGCAAAGCACATCTCTGTTAAGAGCTTCCCTTTTCAGGCTGCTTTATCGAAGCATTTCTGAAATGTTTTTTCACTGTGGTGATGTTTTCTTTGTTGCAGTTTTTAAATTAGTTATTTATAAGCATTGCCAATAGTTGCCAATGGCATAGTTTCATTTTTTTTTTTTTTTTTTTAAATGCACATACTTTAAGTAACAGTTCTTGTTGTTTTGTGGAGAGTATACTTTACAAGTGGGTACTGTTGAATCAGACAGTTGAGCTTATTTGTTTTGAGAGTGTTAAACCTCAGCAGCACCTCAAGTGTAGCATTCGGAGTTTCAGGAGGTGATGTGGAGTACTGGGAAGGATTTAGAAATGGATCAGCCACGCTGTGCTGTTGTATTTGGGATAACTGAAGATGTGTCACACCTGCAGAATTGAGCTGCCTTGCACATTCTGCAGCACAGCTTTTGAAAATTATGATCTGCAAGTGTGTGGTTTTTTTTTAAGCTGCTCGCTTCCAAATATGAAACTTGGTATGGGTGAGGGAAAAATAAATCCAGTGAAGGATAGAAAAAGTAGAATGAACTTTTCCACCCATGTTATGGGTGATCGTTCAGGCCATAGTAAGCTCAGGTAATGATACCAAATGAAGGAACCTGTTTAAGGATTAGGTGTCATGTGGTCTGAAGTGTTGTGAGAAACTGCACTGTGAGCAGAAACTTTGCTAGGTACTTTGTTTTTCAGATCTGCTCCAGAAACAGAATGGCGAAATCTTTTAACAGAAATTTACATTTGATTTCCATGCTCATAGGAAATTCTGAAAGCATCATTTGCTGGAGGAGTAGCCCAATGATGTTAATGCATTTGTTGTATGATGAAACTGAGCTTGAGATTTCCTAAAACTCTGGAAAGCTATGATCTCTGTCATGAAGTTTTCATTTGTCTAAGAGACGTGAAGAGCAGTGGAAATTACATTGACGTAGGTGCAGGAAGATATCATTTAGACTGTGTCTGAAGAGTCAGATGAGGTATCTGAGTACTTCTGAAAGTCTTACTGAGAATGGAGAGACCAGCCAAAGCACAACAGGAAAACTAGGGGAGTGTGAAGGAGTTCAGTAAGGGTGTCTGGGCATGGAACTGCTGCAAAGATGACAGTCTGTGAACTGTGCCAAATAATATTTTTCCATCCCAAGAAGTCCTGTAATTCTGAAACTGGTTGTCCTGTTAGTGTATCGTGGTGCTGATGAGCCAGGAAATGTGACAGTGACTTTAATGTTTCAGCGGCTTTATTCCAACATACATCTTAGTGAATTTTGTTCTTGCTCAGCTCCCTAAGAAAATAAGGCTTATATAATTGCACTGTCAGAAAGTCAAATCTCCTGCTCATGTGGATCAGCTGAATTTGAGAGATGAGGTGCCTGATGATGTTTCTGTGAAGTGTGTGAAACAGCATCTCAGTGAGTAGTGTGCCCATGCTGTGTCTTCCTAAGGGAAGGAGGAGCCAGCTGCTGCCTGTTGGACTTGCACATGAGCATGAGCATGTTCAGCCTGTAGGCCTGAGTGCATGTTGCCTGTGCCTGATGGAAGCTTGGAGAAGGTGAGGAAGAAGAAAATCACTTCTTAACTGTTTTGATGAAGGCCTATAATGGAGAGAGAAGGATCCCTGGGAAACCAGGAATGGTGTCTTACAGAATCACTTTTTTGTGCAGACTGTACATTTCTGACTTTGTTAGGTGCTAATTTCTTTGTAATCAATTTTCTGATGCGTTGCATTAGCATCTGTGTTACTTTGTAGATTAATTTATTTCATGCTGTTACGCTTTATTGAGGGAAATTATTTTTTCATGATATCCTGTTTTTCTTGGTGTGAGGCAAAAACCATAATGCTCCTACAGTGTTGCTCTGAAGGCCTCTGAAGTTTGATGAGCAGTTTGATATGGCCTGATTTCAGCATTGCCACTGAATGTGATAGCATTGCCTTTGCCTTCTTTCTGCTTACTTGTTGCCCACTCTTTTGTATGTCTGCTAATGTTTGTACAGCTGAATGGCCGGGGTGAACAAATCATGGGGCTGATCCAGCTGAAAATTAGCCCAGCAATGTCTTTTCTTTCTTTTCATGGAAAAAATAATCCCCAAAAGCTGTGTTTGTGATCTTCTGAGTATGTACGTGTCTTTCTAGTTTTATTTTCTTTTTTCTGTTACCACATGGGCAGGAGCTATTTACTTGAAGAATTTCTAGAAAGAGTCCTGCTTTGATATTTTCTTCTGGGATTTTTTTTTTTTTTTTTTGCTTCTGAGTATAAATGAATTTTGCTTTTGTATTCAATGCATCTTTTGTCCTCTTCAAAGGTTAATGCCACAGAGCTGTTATAGGTGGCTCTTATTTTTATGGTCATGCTGTTATAGCAATACTATTTCTTGAACTTGTCTTCCCAGTCCTTTTTTTTCCCTCTGTATAGCTGTTTCAACTATCTTTTCTATTCTCCTCCAATTATTACTGTTCACCTCTGCCCTTTTCCTTTTGTAAACTTGTAACTATTTCAACAACAAAGTGATGTTGATATGAAAAGCTAAAAGAAGTTGTGTGCAATTGTGAAGAATGTGGATTTAAGGTAGTAATGCAAGGGTCCTTTCTCCTGAGAAGCAAATCTCTGAGGTGAGCTGTGGGATTGGTTTTTAAACACTTTTTTTATTTTTTTATTTTTCCCTAATTGGAACGTCTTGGGTGCTGGGAAGGGAAAAAGGAAAGGACTGTACATTTTGGTAAATGAGCTGCCTCCCAGCTCTGATTACCTCCTGAATCCAGGGCAGATGAGGCCCTGTCTGCTTGGAGCTGTAACTTCCTTGTCTCACTGCGATTTGTCTCCATAAATAGCACCTTGGAATCAATTATCTGTTTGGGGGGCTTTTAGCAGTATTTCTGCTTTCTGCTCATGTCATGCATCGTTCTTGAGAACACGTGAAGAATGCTCAGCTCCTTACAGGATTTGGGCTGTAATCAAGGCTGACACTGACTGGCATATTGTCAAATTGCACACGTATCATTTACTGTTAGACAACACTGGACATCCGTTAGTGTCTCTTGGCTAATGAAGAGTGTTGCCTCACATATTCTTACGATGGGAGTGTGAAGGATTCTTGTTGTAGCTGCCAGCTTTCATCATGCAAGTGGATTGCAGAAGGTGGTACTCTAGGGATAATTGAGAATAGGAAGATTGAAGATTTGCTGTGTTCTTCTGAAGCACTGGAATGACTTCCATCGGCTCAGAGCATTGTCTCCAGAACATTGCTTTATTCATTTATTTATTTATTTTAAAATAAATATTTATTTACTCTGTGGTGATTATTATTGCAGAATAAATATCTAGTTATTTCTAAAACTGTCAATCCGCGTGTCTGTTCCAGGGCGATTTGATGAAACCGTGATTGAAGAAAGAAGGCAATGTGCTGAAGACCTGTTGCAGTTTTCTGCTAATATCCCTGCCCTCTACAACAGCAAACAGCTTGAAGAGTTTTTTAAGGTTTGTTAGTATTTGCAAGAGCATTTTCCTTATTGATAGGAATAAAGTATACTGCTGATTCTGCTTTGTTTATAACAATAGAATGCCAACCAGCTGATCTGACATGCTTTCTGAAGCAACTGGCAGTTTTCCATTCACTCTCAAAATGTAGCTTTGAGGAAAAAACCAAGAAGGTGTATCATACCTCTGAGGTGGAAAGGTCTACAGGAACTTTAGGTGAAGGGATTTGGAATTCTTGCTTACCAAATGATGAGCAAAACCAGTGATGTTAAATCTGGATGATGTGGGGAAGCAATAAAAATTCTACCATCAATTTGGCATGTAACTAGTTAAATATGCTACTTGCACAGCGTTATGAGAACCACTCACCAGAATACAGTTTAGGACAGTAAGTTGAGACTTTCTTTTTATTACATCTGAAGCAGTTCACTTTCAGTAGTTTCTTCAAACCTCTTTATTTTCAGTACTTAGCTAATTCCAATATTCCACAGGCAGATAAGCATCAATTTACTTGTAAACATGATAATAACTCCCTGAAATTAAATAAATGCTCATTTGGTTTAGATTGGGTTAAAAGTGTATTGACATGTTTAGTCTCTTTAAATGATACATGCAAAAGCAAGATTACAGCAAGGCTTACAAATTACAACTCAAGTTCATGGAACAGTTATTGCATAATAAAGATATTTTTTGTTAAGCATTGGAAGTAATGCTAAATAGGAGAATGAATTTAAATATTTTTTAGTTTATTTCCATTTACACTTTTTAAAATTTATTTTTAAATACTTCTGTGCTTTTGGATATTTGTTCAGAACCGTTTTCATCTTTTGCTTAACAAAGGTATTGGTTTTAGCCTTCCAGTGAAAGCTAAAAGGCTAAAAGTGAAGGTTTTTCTGACTTTATAAGGCAATGAACAAACCTAAAATGGCATTCATTTTTATAGGAGTAAATATGTCTACAAGGAGGTTTATGCAAGCTTGAGCTCACGGTAGCTGAAGCTATGTTATGTTTTTCTGTAAGAAAGCTTCATGGTTTGATCAGTCACCAACTCAGAATCCTTCAGCTCCACGTGTGAGTGGTTTTGTTGCTTGTCAGATTTATGTGCATATAATCATGGAGAAATAGAGTTGGTCACTGAAGTCTTAGAAGGAACTGAGGGAGATGCTGTGTCTACCTATGTACTGCTGACTCCAGGAAAGCAGACTACCGATGTGGAAATGTGCTGGAATAGTTCAAGACAGATTAGAATTGCCTTTGGAGGTGGTGCATTTGTAATAAAAGTGCATGGAAGGGATGTACTTGAAATGCAAAGCAGAAAATTAAAAAAACAGTGACAAAATGACATCAATATAAACATAAAGCAAAACATAAAGCAACAGCAAAAAAAAAAATAACAAACCCAAGGTGTAGGGAACCTGCTTTGGCAGGGGGGTTGGACTCCATCTCTGGAGGTCCCTTCCAACCCCTACAATTCTGTGATTCTGTTTCCTCATGCAATTAACTGTTTCTTTTGATACTTTACCTATAATGCTTTCCAGGCTTAGAAGGGTACACTATTCTTATATACTGGCCCTGGCCTTATCTTCTTTTGTCCAAAACTCAGGATAGTAGATCCTGGTTAGGCTATTAATCTGATCCACAGACACTTCTATGTGAGGGCCCTGCTGACCTAGGGAATACCATGAAATGGCACAGACTCAAACCATAAGAGAGCTGGAGCATCACTGTTCTCTCCATGTAAAACTCTAGATCCTGTAGGTAGACCTGCTGCAGCCTGTGTGGTTCAGGACTTGTGTTACCACAGAAGCTGAAGTTGATACCTAAGTGGTCTGTGGCAAGCAACTCTGGCCTGAGCAAAAACCCTTGTTTTGCTTTGGTTCTTTAGAAGGAGTGCATTCTGAATTTTCATAGTCATAAAATCCCGAAGGTTGGAGAAGATCTCCAAGATCATCAAGTCCAACTGTCCACCTGCCACCAATATTTTCCCCACTAAACTGTGTTCCTTATTATAACATCTAAATGTTTCTTGAACACCTTCAGAAATGGTGTCTCAACCACCTCCCTGGGTAGCCTGTTCCAGCTCCTGAACACTCTTTCAGAGAAGTTTTTCCTAGTTTTATGTTGTGCAACGCGTGGAGTTTAGCTAGAAGGATTTGGTCAGGCTTACTGTCACTCATTTGTAGTGGAAATGGAAAGTCAGGGCTTGAAGCAGTGATTGAGCACCTGGTGGGAAGGCAGGGCCAACTCAGGAGAGCTCAGGTGCATGTAGTGCACCTGGGTGACTGCAAGGGGTAGAACCATGATCCACCCCTTTCCAGATCTCATTTAAGGGTTGGCAGTGGAGGCAAGGGTATCTTGCAGGAGATCCCTGTGTACCTGAGGCCTCCTGATGGTAAGCAGCTTCTTTCCTTTGTTTCTCAGTCTGTGGCTGCTGCATTTGAGCGTATCCTCACTTGCTGCAGCATGGGGTTTTGCTACTACACTTTCTATTTCATTACAGCATTATGCCTATTGAAGTCTGTGAGAAATTATACCAGCTATTTTACACAGTTGTTGAATAGGTTAGAATGATACTAGGATTAAACTTCAAGCTAATTTTGCAGGTATGTATAGATTGATTAAGTGCATTAACTGAAAGTCACGGAACATTTACTGGTTAGAAAAGTTGATTTTGAATATCACTGCTATATAAAGGGATTTCCATAGAGCTCAGCAACTAAATAATTTCTTTCCCTCTCTTCAGGGTGGAGAGGTACATGATGGATCTGAACTGATCGGTCCTGTTGAGCCTCTGTCTGACTCACTGACTGACAACCTATCTGACTGCAGCTCTGAAGGTTTGCTTCTTTCTGTCATGTGGCTTTATACCTTGATCTCTTTTAAAAGAGCACATAAATGACAAGTGTAAATGACAAATGCTGTATTTGTACGTTTCTGTTTGGTTGATATGACAGATAAGTTGAAACTGGGATTTAAAAAAAGAAAAGTTTGGCTAAGCAGAACTCTGTCTGCTCTGCTAGAAGTTTGCTTATAACAGGACATTTTCTGGGAGTTTGTCTGGTCCACTTTAAATGTCCTGTTGCTCTGTTGTTCCAAAGAACTTCTTCAGGTATCAGTGGGAACTGACCTCTCTGGTGTAAATGTATGCAGTCCCACCTGATTCCAAAAGGTTGGGTAAGTGATCTGGTAGCATTCATGATGAGTTGTGACTTAAGTCTCTGGTAGTAAAAATTTGCAGGGAACTTTAAAATCATTTTGAGATTGATCAATAAGTATTTAGGTAACTTTGAATTTGCCCAGAGCATGAAAAATAGGTCTAAGATTTGAATTGCTGTATTCATTTCAGAGAGTTCTTATTTAGCTGTTCGTGCCCTGGATGCCACCAGGGTTTAACTGCTGAGTAGAATCCAGAAGATATACTTAAAAATTATGCTCACAGTTTCTTGTGTATGAAACCTAATGTTGGCAAATAGGATTTGTTAAAGAGAGTAACAGCATGTAAGTATATATTATTATAACAGATACTTAAATTTGTAAGTAATACATGTATCCTTCAGATATTAAGTATACTAACGTCTTGCGACTCATACTTTCTTAAGTTTGAAACCAAACGTTGGCGAGTGGGATTTGGGAGAGAAAGTAACAGCTGTCTTTAAGGCCTCTAGATGGCAGTGGCAATACTCGGCTCTGAGTCCTCTCCCTGTTTGCATATAATTCTTCTAGTCTGATTATCATAGCTAGTTTGGACTAGTTAGTTCTCTGTTTTTGTGGGCTGACACAGCCTCCCCATGAGCACTGTTCCTCCAAACTGTCCTACTGAGAAGGGGCTTGTGTTTGCTTAACAGAAGTTGGTGTTTGCTAATAAGGTTCTGTTGTGTTTTCTCCGTTTTGCCTGTTCTTTTAAGACAAAGTTCACCCTGCAGAATACATGCGTGTTAATGGTAGAAGGATCAAACTGATGGGCTTTTTTTTTTTTTTTGAACCAAGATGAACAATAAATATCCTGCTTCTCTAACAGTTTGACAGTTCATGTTTTAAATACTTCTACAAGGATCTCTGTGCTTTTCAAGAGGGCAGATCTCAGAGCATCACAGTACTTTCTAATCTTGCTGACTGTCACTCATCTTCCTCTCTAGATATGTGAGACAATGTTCATCTGTCGAACCCCCTCTCCAAAGTTTTTCTATACCAGTTGCCACATTCTTTAGATAAATCCCCTTGGAACATCATCTTTTTTTTTCCCCTTTTTTTCTTCCTTCTGGTTTTACCACATTCATGCTTTCCTTCCAGAAATAAGCAGATGCGGTTCAGACTTTTCCTACCCCTCGTGCTGGTTGGAAGCCCTGTGACTGCGATTTGTGTGGTGATGGAACTGGGTTTTATACCACTCCCCTAAGCAAAGTTTATTATCTCAGGCTCTGTACCATGCTAGCTCTGTTAGTGCAGCTTCTGGTCAAGTCAGCTGCAGGAGACAGCTCTGTTTGAAATATTCTGTGTAGATGTGTCCTGATTCATATAGTCTGGGAGACCAGTGCACCCTTTCTACAAAACGCAGCCTGGTAGTGGTAGGGCAAGGGGTAATGGTTTTAAGCTAATAGAGAGTCCATTTAGATTGGATAGTAGGAGGAAATTCTTTACTCACAGAGTGGTGAGGTGTTGGAATAGCTTGCCTAGAGAGGCTGTGGGTCCTCCATCCCTGGAGGCATTCAAGGTGTTAGATGCAGCTTTGAGCAACATGGTCTAGTGGGAGCGGTCCCTGTTCATGGTGGAGGGTTGGAACTGGATGGCCTTCAAGGGTCTTGTTTCCATTCATTCACTCTCTTCCATTCATTCGCCTTTCTCCATCAGTCAGCTCTGTTTGCATGTGCAGATTCCCTAACTTGTGATTTTTTTTTTCACTGAAGAAGAACATTTGGCGCCTCTGAATGTTATTTCGTAAATTTAGTCATGAACAGCCAAATTTAAGTTTATCTCTAACTTCGGCAGATGATACCTAATCACTCATATCCTAATGAATCTTCTGTCTTCCTCCAACTGGTCTGTTGTGAGGTTGCCTTCTTTATGTATTCATGAAGCTACAGTTTTCTTCTCATTGTAAACACTGCTGTGTTTTCCTCCCCTGAAAAGATCTGGAGCAGTGTCTTGAGAGCACCTGTGCACTCCTGTATTCTCCAGTAGTCTTGCGTCACTGAATATTGTCATGGCTTGATTTTAGACCAAGTAATGACTGGTTATCTGTTTTTCTTCCTGCCTTTTTTTTTTCCCCTCTCACTTAGGTTAAATGATTTGCTAGCTCTGGAGAAGCAACATTTCTACAGTGCTTAGCAAGTGTGTGTGCTTTCTCTCTACTCTTCCATAAATTGTAAACCTCCCTGTCTCCCCTTCCCTTCTGAACTCTAGAGCTGCAAAATCAAAATGAAAGTTTGAGCTAGGTGCCTTTGAGTCACCTCCTTGCTGCTACACATTCTTTTTGAAGAAGACAGAATACTTTTCCTGATAACGTGCATAAACTCTTGACTCTGTTGATAATACAGAAGAAAACAAGACAGCCGGTTTTAGCTCAAAATTTACTTTTGTTGCTTGTACAAACAGCTAAATGCCTTGACCTTCTTGCTTGTTTTATTGCTTCAGTAGGTACATGTGCCAAGGTGATAAAACAAACTGCTACGTGATATCCAGGTGGCACTGCCAAATTCATTGCTCGCTCCATATGTCTCATGCAGAGTACTATTCTGGAATGACATTTTTTGAGACTGAAACCTGGCATTTTTTTCTTAGTTTGTAGATGTAGGTCCCAGCTTTGAAGACTCTTCTGTTGTAAGTCTTGTTAGCTGTAAATCATTAGAATGGTGTGAGATAGGGATTAAAGTCCTATTGTTGTTGAAATTAGGTGAGTTGGAGTGCTGAGGTTTGAGTTAGCCATCCTAAGCAAATGACTGTGTTCTGATTTTAACCTTGGTGGCAGCCAGAAATGGCAAGTCTGACTTTGCTGTCAGTTTTAATGGTGTGCTACCAAATGGATATCTCTGATAGCCAGTTCAAGAGCAGTTTCACATTACATACTTTTACCTGCAGCAGGGCCGTATCTTTTGTTTTTGATGGCAAGTGAACATCTAATCTGTTATGCAAAAGGGTATCAGAACCATTTTTATCGTTCTTGTCTTTTTCAGTTCGGAAAGACTTAAGTGGACTTGATGATGTGACGCTTACAAGCCAGTCGGAATGTGGAGGTGAGCTCTGAAGTTTCAATTAGTTCTGTGGAGTTCGAATTATTAAAGAGTCATAATTATGGATGGACACCTTATGTGGATGATGATTCACACAGAATGGTGTGCATGTAAAATATCTTTGCCACTTATTCCCGAATAACTCTTCTAGGTTTCTGTAGTTTGAAATTACTGAAGATCAGTTTGAAGTAAGTGTGTATGCTTGTGGCAAATGTAAAATAAAATAAAAGCTGTGAAATTCCAGTGAAAGAGGTATAATCCATTTTTTACCACATCTTAACAATGGAAGAATAGTATATATGGTAGTCACGAATTAGAGTGCTGCGTGATGCAGAAGCTGACAAACTGTGAATTCGAAGTCCTAATTGAATCATTTTGGGATGTTTCATTTCACTGATTTAAAACAGTATATGCAGAGAGATCTTGCAACAATGATCTGGCTTCTGCTATTCTAACAGCACTCACACAGGGAGGTTTAGCTTCCTGGGCTCCAGCAGTGAGCAGGCTTTGAAGGTTAAAGTTGGGTGTTAGATGTTTGTCTCTTCATTCCCTGTATTAAAATGAAGAATTGCTCTGCAGAGTTTGTAGCTAACTTTTTAAAAAACCATATCTCTGGTTACTCAAAAGCCATTTTTAAGTTGGAAAATTTTTGTGCGCAAAGTCTTAGGAAGTTAGAAAGGTGAAAAGAAGGCTAAAATAAAATAAAAAAGAAGGCGATAAAGAATGTTGAATATTCCTGCGGTATATAATGTAGAGTAATAAATGTCTGTCTTGTCGTGCTTTCAGGCTTCTCCAGTGATAGCGACCTGATCTCTTTGACAGTTGATGTAGACTCTCTTGCTGAATTAGATGATGGAATGGCATCCAACCACAGTTCTCCCAGTAGAGCTGTTGGCCTTTGCCATACTTCTGAGCCCCCAGTACAAAGCGCTGTGGCATCTGAGCAGGAGTGGAGCAAACCTGAAGGAGAAAGGGAGAGCCATGGTCTGTTTTCTGGAAGCTTAAAACCCAAGCCTGGCAAACAAGATTACTTAGAGAAAGCAGGCGAGTTGATAAAGCTGGCCTTGAAAAAGGAGGAAGAAGAAGACTACGAAGCTGCTTTCAGCTTTTATAGAAAGGGTGTTGATTTACTTCTGGAAGGTGTTCAAGGTATGGATCTTCCCATATTGTTTGTTTTACCTTTGGTTATGGGTATTTCATTATGGTATTTCCTTTGTTACATCTACTTATTGTGTTGCAAGGAGGTGATATGAAATGCAGAAAAATGTGTGCCTGGCTTTCATCTGCTTGATAGCTGTTGTGCTTGCAAGACAGAGAGAAATCTTTCTCTTTAAGACTTGAATAATAAGCTAGGGTCTAGTCTTCCAAGTGCCAAATATCTCCTACTCAAAATTGCAGCACAACCTCTGACTTGCAGGTAAGTAGCAAAGTGCTCCACTTTTGTCTCTTTCCTTTTTATTACCTAGGCATTAATTAATGTGTGGCACTTGCAGCACTGTTGAAACATTATTTAATTTACATGGTTAAGTGAGGATTAATTATCCCCATTTTACACATGGGGAGAGGCAGACTCAGGTTAACTTTTCAATCACAACAGGATTAGAAGTATTCTTGGCTCACAGCCTCTTGCTTCTTTCATTTAACTGTTCTCCTTTTTCTAGCTGAAAGATGCATAGAAATACACATGCTTATGCTGCTGGAGGAGAGCAGGATTTTTTTCAGAAGACTTTAATGCATCAGTATATCTGCAAAAACCATTGTTAACTGATGAAGTGCAACTCCATGTAAACTTCTGTAGAGTCTCCTTGTACCCTGTCAGTCAAGGGACAGTTTTATCCCTTTCCATCTCTAGTTCTTGATAATCTAGAGGGATAACCTCATGTATTTGCATTTTGTTCAACAACAGAATAAAATGACCACAGGAAGAGGTCTGTTGTTTCCTGGAGTGAATTCAAGGTCTGTGTATTGTGCTTCTGTTTGACACAGATCAAATGAGTGAGATTAGAATTGTGGCATTGTTTAACAGCATACGTCACATGAATATTTTGCTGCTCCAGAGCTGAACTTAAATTCTAATGTACCAAAGCATGTACAAGTAGAATCCTGTTCTCCATCTGAGTACAGAGCTCAGCAGTGGTCTAAGCCCTGTGAACAGTTGTAGGAATGGAACTTAACCTACTGAGCTGCTTTAATGGAGGCTAGAAGAAAATAATGGATAAGTTAACAATGAAGGCTGAAGGTGTGCACTTTACGTAAAATGTCAGTTAACTTTCTGGCAAAAGGGAATCCACCTCTTTTTTTTGTGCTGTCCCAGTGGTTGTCAGTAGGGCTGCTGCTTTGCTGCTTGTCATGGCTTGTCGATGTAATCAAAATGCCTTCCCTTGGGAATAGAAATGTGTACAGACTGGTTCTGGGTAGGCATCTCATCATTTTCCTTTCTCTGTCACACTGCATGGATGTGGAGATAGTGGGGAAGTTGATGGTCATCCTCTGCTGGGCACTTAGCTTAGATTTGCATGAATCCAGCTCATCTTGTTCTCTCTTCTGAGCTTAAAAAGTGTGCTTAATCGTCTATAAAGACAGTTTGAAAAGCCCCACACAAAAAACTGAAATAACAGAAAAGCTCAATCCAGGAGTTAGCTCTTGTACATTTAATTAGTGGGTGGTATGTTTAACACTGATTTGTGAATATTCGCTGTGTATTGCAATAAAAAGTCCCCATTATTTCAGCAATACTGGTTATGTAGTTCATGTGGATAATAATGTGCCTGTTTTGAAGATGAGGGTGGTGCAGCTGTTGCCAAATGCCTCTTGTCTTTTGCCATTTGGTATTTTTATCCTTTTTTGTCTAAATTAGCCTATGTATTTTTTGAAAGTGAAACACAGCATTCGTACATAGTTACACACCAATCTAAAGTGACTGTACCTTTCAAAGCAGACATGTATTGTCTGCAAATGCAGCCTTTCTTTAGATTGAACTGAAAGTGGCTTTTGCATGTAAAATGGCAGTACATGCTTTTGCCACATGGTGGCACCAAGGAAATAGGAATTGACACTTATCATTGGAAAATGTAACTAATGTACCAGAGGAAAAAAGAACCGTCATTCATCCCTTGTTTGAAACTTCTCTGAGAATTACTGTGGAAGTGAAATACCTCCATGCACTGATTAGGCATATCTAAAAGATAAAGATCTCTCTGTTACCTGCCGCCTCCTTTAGGCTTGGCACAAGAAGTTCTTACTTCTTAAATCTACGTCTTCAAAATCACGTATGAGTAAGTTTATTACTGTGAGTTTACAGACTTATTGTTTAGTTAGGAGTAGCATGCTTCCATAAAGGCAGCTGGGGCAGCTCATCTGTCATGCTCCCAGTGACCTCAGCTCTCTGAGTTAGTGTACTTCTACAGGATGAGACGAGGTATTGCACAGGCTTACACCAAAGAAGTGTCCATCTTGAGTTCATTTTCAACTATCTGTGCTCTCAGGAGCATAGTGCTGTCACTTACACTGTGCGTGCTGTATGTGTATTTTCCTCTGCTACTCTCTTGTGGACTTTTAGTACAGAATCCTTCCATGTCCTGTTTTACAGTCCTGCTGCAAGACTGGATGTGTGCCACTTGGGAGATGAAAGCAGTGTACGCTCTGAGAGGCTGTAGTATAACTTGGTCTCTGGACATCTGCCCTACAAATGTCTTGGGCCTGGTTCTGCTCCATATACATATTCAATGCTGAACATATTTGCCAGTGGGAAGGAGAACAAATTCCTGGAATGGCATCTGAGGGCTCTGCTGCTCCTGAACTACCTGCACCTCTTGTAACTTCCCATTTCCTCGCTGCCAGAGCTCCCTCACATTCACACAAAGGGAATGATTGCCATCATTTTCTTTTTCCTTGAAATATGCAGATCCTGATCCCCTCTTATGTTTTCTGGGATCTGCTGTGTGCAGGATTTTGGCACTTTTACAAAGCAGGTTTGTAAAGGTTGTGTAGCTGGTTGAGCTGAAACCTTCAGAAATTCAAGTTGGGAGTGAGTATTCCTGACTTGCTTGAGAATTTCAAGTTTTCATACTTTTTAACCATACTAGAAAATAAATACACTAATTGACAGAAACTTTGGTTCACAGTTATAGCTGCTCATTTGTTTTATTAGCATGTCAGAGTACTTTGAGGTCAATGCATTGCTTCAGGCCCAGTGGTGGAAAAAATGCACTTATTGATTGCAAGCCACCAACTTCTAGGCTGGAAATCAACTGTGTTTTGTACAAAGTTAGTGCTTTCCTGACTTCGATGCAGAAAGTAATTTGTGTTAGGAAAAAATTGGTTAGGGGCCTGAAATTATGGAAAAGGATATTTGGAATAAAGAAGGGAGTCCTGCTCCTTCTGGTGTGAATTGCTCCTCTTTCTTCAACTCCCACCATTCTCTAGTTGTATCCATTATGGATTTTGGCTGTAAAAACATAGTTAATGCTGTTGCATGTTGCTGCATTTAAATCACTTCAAGCATGTGATGGAGCAAGAACAGCCACGGCAATATTGTGATACTGTGTAGAAAAGTACAAACTCCGTTCGCTGTGGCTTAGAATACAAACTTGTCCATTCCTAGACTGCTACATATGAGGCTCTTTGTTACATATTAACATCTGAAGGTGTATGATCCATTTGCTTTGTCATAGATCTAGGGTGTTTGTGTTAGCAGCTGTGGCTAAGCACAATTAATAGTTATTTACTGTGTGAGGCTGGTTCAGCTAGGCAATGTGGACATCGTTGCATGAAGTGCGTGGTACGTAAGTCAGCTTTGCAGCCACAAGTATATTTCCCAGGTATTTCTGTTTTGTGCTGGTTATCTACAGCTCCTAGATAAGCTGTTGGTGTCTTTGAAAGCAGGCTGTGAATGTCAATTTCTCACTGCTCCGTGCTATTTTCATGTTTATCCAGTAAACAGAGCTGGAACAGAAATTACACAAATTGTTGGAACCTTGATACAATGACTTTGACTTTTAACCCAGAAATGCATATACAGTGAAATACTGGGAATACTTTAGACAGCTAGGTGATATTTCTGGATATACTGAAAACAAACCGACTTGTTTCTAATTACTGGAATTATGATGGACTATGATCTGAGCTTGTGATGGAGCCAGGAATGCAAACAGGAGCATGACTAACAGAATGCCAGACAGTGCTTTGTGAAGAGAGGAGAAAAGCCGTGGCTTTTCCATGAGCATGTTTCTGGCTTCCAGATTAAAAAGAACCTTTGCTTGTTTGTTGAATAATACTTATGAAACCAACTTCTGTCCAAAGCAGTAGCTATGTTAAAGGAATATAACTTGTGAAGTCTTATGAGTAGTATTTCTTGTTGAGAGTGGCAATCTCTATGCAGTTTTTGAGCTACACAGTGATTGTGCCAGATGAGAGCATCTTTGAGGAAACAATAGACCTGTTTTCTAAGAGCTATCAGTGTGAGTTTGTTGGCATCAAGCAAATGCAAATGAGGATCCTTGCATTCCAATTGCAGGATTATTTATGCTAATGCTATGTATTTGAGATCCTGTTGAAGAGATGAGGAACAGTTAATTTTTGCAAGACAGAGCCCTAGAGGACATCAGGACACCTTGGGCTGTGAGATGATGGAGATGATGATGTCTGCAGGAAAAGAAGGTTGTGCTGGGTTCTGCCAGGGAAGATTAATGGCAGCGTTAGTGGCAGAATTGAGGTTTTCCCCCAGCCAATCTCAGACCTCTGTGCTCAGATGATGCATCATGACTGTCTCCTTATTCCTTGTTGTGACTTCCACTGAGCTTGGAACCAGCCAAGACAGGAACTTCCTGCCCTAAGTCCTTCCAAAGGAGCTGGAAAGCCATTATATCCTAGTAGACTAGGAGGATGCTATAGGACCATTTGGATTTAGCTTTTTAAGCTACAGTGCAAAATGTTACCTCTTGACATTACAACTTCTGTTCTAAAACAGACTAGTTGTTTTAGCAGTACTTGTCTACTGGTAAGCAGCCGGATTAAGAAGGAATATTAAAAATATTGTGGTTTGCTTAAAAAAAGTCATCTAATTCCAGCGTGCTTTCAGTGATGCTGAAATTCTTGCTAATGTGGGCCATGAGCTATTCATAACTGAAATGTGCTGACTTCCAAGCCTG